TGGGTTCTAAGCGTATCCTCTGTCCCTCTATGTAAGGGGAACTAATCTCTCAGCCTGTCCCACTCAGACACTCCCTCGTCTTCCTTCTTTCTCTGGTATTTTGAGAGCTCAGATCTTGCCTCACAGGAGCCTAATAAATGCCTGTGGAATTGACGTGTTGTGGAAGGGTCGCTCTATCTTGGTCCAGAAAGATGGAAACATTTTTGAGAGAGGAGAGCTAAGATGGTGGAGGTGAGGGTAGGGTGCTGTAATCAGAAGGCAGGAGCAAAGGTATGCCAACAGGCAAATTTTGCATGTGGGGGACTAGCAGGTGGCCTGGATTAGCTAGGAAGTAGAGCTTTGCTGAAATAGTGGCAAAGTGATAAGGTTGGAAACTTAAGATAGCATCACCTGAGTATCAGGTTAAGGTGCGTCTGGCTTTTATTTTGGAGGCCAGGAGCAGCACTTAAACGTAGGAGGGTAAGGGAGCGACTTCATTTAAGCATGAGTTTGGAAAAATTAATTCTCTGGCCCAGTCAAGTTCAGAAAACTCAGAAATCAGGAGGCTGCTGCCATGGTCCAGGTGGTGAGAAAGGCCTTGGACAAGAGCAGCTGCCTGGGGACTGGTAAGGATGTCCTGAAGTGACAGAAGAGCTGTCCATCCTGCCCAGTGGGATACGAAAGAGGAAAGCACCCAAAGCAACTGCTAGGTTCTTAGCCCAGATGATGGGAAGAGCATCAACACAGTCAAGGACCTCAAGAAGGCAGCTCGAAGTACCCTGCCAAAGAGGTAAGTCTGTGGAATTGAAGTGCTAAAATCTTTCCCTACTTCTCTCCTAAGTAACATGTGGTCTATTCAAACTCAACCACTGCATATGAAAGAATAATGAATAAGTAAACCCAAACCCATTGTTGTCGAGTCAATTCCGACTCACAGCCCCCCTATAGGACAGAGCAGAACTGTCCCATGGGGTTTCTAAGGAGAGGCTGGATTCAAACTGCTGAAATTTTAGTTAGCAGCCGAGTTCTTAACCACTACGCCACCAGGGCTCCAATGAGGAACTGAAAAAAAAGAAAAATCCACTGGCATCAAGTCCACTCCGACTCATAGCGACACTACAGGACAGAGTAGAACTGCCCCACAGAGCCCACAGAGTTTCCAAGGAGCACCTAGTGGATCTGAACGCTGACCTTTTGGTTAGCAGCCATAGCACTTAACCACTGCAGCACCAGGGTTTCCAATGAATAACCAGACGGCCTTAAATAGCTTTGAAGAGAGAAACTTTCTAGAAAGTAGAAAGATCAAGTAAACACTGTACCACAATTCCCCACCCCCAACAAAAAAAAAAAAGATGGGGTTGAATGTCAAAGTGTAGAGAAAGCTTTTAGATGTCTTCTTTAAGTTTGCTTTTGGCGCTTTGGTCTGTAAGCAATCAAGATGGAGAGAGACGCTATTCCAAAGAGGAAAGTCTGTATGAACCAGAGCAGCTGAGCCCGACCATTTGAGATGCCTTTATACCTAAAAAGAAAAAAAAAAAAGCAAAGTTTAAACACGAGAATTTTAATCTTGTGGTTGAATAGGAATTACCTTCTTTTTTTTATTTATTCCTTCCATCTACTTTCACTTGGTTTACTTTTCTGTTTTTCTAAACTTGCTTCTAAACTTGAATGGTTAGTTCACTTATTTTCTATCTTTCTTGTTTTCTAATATATGCATTTAAAATGGTGCATTTTTCACTCAAAAACCAGTCTTGTTACTGCCCAGGACATCTGTATTATAAAATTGTTCCCCATGTGATTCTAACATGCAGACATGGTTAAGAAGCACTGGTGTAACTTCAGCAAATGCTTTGAAGGTACACCAGATGTGAATCCTAGCTTGGCCACTGACCAGGCTGTGACCTTGGGCAAGTCACTCCATCTCTCTCAGAATCAGTTTCCTCATTTGAAAAATATGGGTAATAGTACCTATCTCACCAAGTTTTGAGATGATTTATGAGATAATACACACAAAGTGCTCAGTAAAGCCTGGCATACAGTAACAATAAACACCTGCTTAGACAGTCTTTCATATTAAACTGCCTAAAACAAAGATGACGAGAGTCAAAGTACAACCTTGAGTATATCCCAGCTGAATTCAGAGATCATTTCAAAAATCTATTTGACTCACTGAACATTAACGACCGAAGACCAGATGAGCAGTGGGATGACATGAAGGACATCGCACATGAAGAATGCCAAAGGTCATTAAAAAGAAAGGAAAAAAAAGAAAAGACCAAAATGGATGCCAGAAGAGATTCTGAAACTTGCTCTTGAATGTAGAGTAGCTAAAGCGAATGGAAGAAATGTTGAGGTAAAAGAGCTGAACAGAGGATTTCAAAGGGCAGCTCGAGAAGGCCAAGTGAATATTAATAATGAAATGTGCAAAGACCTGCAGTTAGAAAACCAAAAGGCAAGAACACACTTGGCATTTCTCAAACTGAAAGAACCAAAGAAAAAAATTCGAGCCTCAAGTTGCAATACTAAAGGATTCTAAAATACTGAATAATGCAAGAAGCACCGAAAGATGGAAGGAACACACAGAGTCACTGTACCAAAAAGAATTGGTCAACGTTCAACCACTTCAGGAGGTAGCATGTGATCAAGAACTGATGGTACTGAAGGAAGAAGTCCAAGCTGCCCTGAAGTCACTGGAGAAAAACAAGGCTTTAGGAACAGACAGAATACCAACTGAGATGTTTCAACAAACACAAGCAATGCTGGAGGCACTCACCTGTCTATGCAAAGAAATCTGAAAGACAGTTACCTGGCCAACTAACTAGAAGAGATTCATATACGTGCCCGTTCCAAAGAAAGCTGATCCAGTGGAATGCTCAAATTAGTGAACAATTTTGATATTACACACAAGTAAAATTTTGCTGAAGATTATTAAAAATTGGTTGCAGCATTACATCAACAGGGAACTGCCAGAAATTCAAGCCGAATTCAGATGAGGATGTGGAACCAGGGATATCATTGCTGAGGTCAGATGGATCCCAGTTGAAAGCAGAGAATACCAGAAAGATGTTTACCTGTGTTTTATTGACTATGCAAAGGCATTTGACTGTGTGGATCATAACAAATTATGGATGACATTGCAAAAAGTGGGAATTCCAGAACACTTAATTGTGCTCATGAGAAATCTGTACATAGACCAAGAGGCAGTGGTTCGAACAGAAAAAGGGGTTGCTGTGTGGTTTAAAATCAGGAAAGGTGTGTGTCGGGTTGTATCCTTTCACTATACTTATTAAATCTGTGTGCTGAGTAAATAATCCGAGAAAAAGACTATATGAAGAAGAAACACGGGATCAGGACTGGAGGAAGACTGATTAACAACCTGCAATATGCAGATGACACAACCTTGACACTGAAAGAGAAGAGGACTTGAAGAACTTACTGATGAACATCAAAGACCACAGTCTTCAGTACGGATAACACCTCAAATAAAGAAAACAAAAATCCTCACACCTGGACCAATAAGCAACATCATGATAAATGGAGAAAAGATTGAAGTTGTCAAGGATTTCATTCGACTTGGATCCACAATCAATGGCCATGGAAGCAGGAGTCAAAAAATCAAACAACCACACCGTATTGGGCAAATCTGCTGCGAAAGACCTCTTCAAAGTGTTAAAAAGCAAAGATGTCACTTTGTGGACTAAGGTGCATTTGACCCAAGGCATTATATTTTTGATCACCTCATACGCATGCAAAAGCTGGACAATGAATAAGAAGACTGAAGAAGAACCGATGCATCTGAATTGTGATGTTGGTGAAGAATACTGAATATACCATGGACTGCCAGAAGAATGAACAAATCTGTCTTAGAAGAAGTGCAGCCAGAATGCTCCTTAGAAATGAGGATGGCAAGACTTTGTTTCACATACTTTGGACACGTCATCAGGAGGGACTAGTCACTGGAGAAGGACATCATGTTTGGTAAAGTAGAGGGTCAGCGAAAAAGAGAAAGACCCTCAAAGAGATGGACCGACACAGTGTCTGCAGGAATGGGCTCAAACACAGCAACAATTATGAGCACGGGGCAGGACCAGGCAGCACTGCATTCTACTGTACATGGGAAGTACATGGGGAGAGGAGGGAAGGGAGGGGAGGAAAAGGGAGGAGAGGGAGAGGAGGGAAGGATGGATAGATAGATATAGATATACATACACACATACATATATGATACGATACAAGACTGAGCATATTAATGGAGAAAGAGTGAACTTCTCAGTACAGGCAATCCCTGATTTACAACATATTTGAGTTACGACAAATCGTTCTTAGGACCACCTGGTTTTTTTGGGACATCTTATCGCCAGTAATATGCACTACATACAAAGTTGCAACACCTAATTTACTGATGTTATCATTCTCAGATGTTCACTCACAGATGTTCAACGTTAAGATTTATAAAGACACCGATAATAAAAGGTAATATAAATGAAAACTTAAAAAAAAATGAGGTATTCAACTTATACCAGAATTGACTTAGGACAGAGTCATCAGAAGGGAACCCTGTCATAAGTGGGGGATTACCTGTAAATGGTCTGGGATAACTAGGCTTCCATATGGAAAAAGGTGAACCTGGAAACCTATCTCTCACAAAAATCACTTCCAAGTAGGTTAATGACTTCAGTGCGAAAGGCAAAATTCTAAAACTTTTAGAAGATAACGTAAAAGAATAT